ATTTTTTAAATCAAATTGTCTTAAAGACCAGTCAAGATTGGTAGCAAGAGATAATAAAACTCTAATGGTATTCATTTTCGCCATGGGAGTAAACGTTTCCTGGTAGTCTACCCCAAAGGTTTGGGTAAACCCTTTGGCCACTAACTTTGCCTTGTATCGATCAATTGTTCCATCAGCCTTATGTTTTATAGTTAACAACCATTTGCACCCCACTGATTTCTTCCCCTTGGGAAGCGTAACCACACTCCATGCATTATTATTATTATTTTTTTGTAATGCTTCCATCTCAATTTGTATTTCTTCTGTTCATTTCGGATATTTCAAGGCTTTTTCCACTCTGGTAGGTATTTTGATAGTTTCCATTTGCCGAACAAGTGCATAGTATTTCGGTGAGAGTCGATGAGTGGATACATAATTTGCAATGGGGTATTGCACATTTCCTTCTGGAGAGTACCTATCAGTGGTTTTCCTCGATTTTGTCGATGAGGCAACACATAAGATGTTTTCACAATATCTGAGTGAGAACTTACCCCAGGGATACCCTTTGGATCATGAACGTGTCCTTGAAGAGTATAAGAAAAGTTGAGATTGACGTGTTTTACTTCAATGGAGCTACACATTTGTCCACTTAATTCTAGACACCCATCACTTAGACCTACGGTTGCTAATATCAAGTCTGGCCCATTTGAGTCGACATTAAGTACCCCAGACGCTTAAGGACTTGGGATGGTTGCTATTGACTGATCCCGCCCAACTGGGCTATCAATATTTGAGAAATCACATAGCCTACTTGGGTTGTCACGGTTTAAGAAATAACATGGATTGCATGGCCCACTTGGGCTGTCACGCTCTAAGCCATTTGGGTTTTTGTCTCTTGATGTTCCATCTCGGGTTTCTTTCAGTGCAGCAAGGATGTTGCTGCTGTTACTATCTTGATTAGGCAGCCCACTTGGGCTAGCAGAAGAATCTGCAGAGGTAATCTTCACTATACCGAACCTGCCATAATCGTCAATTAAGGTTTGTCTTCCCCTTAGGAGTATGGCTGGGAGGAAAAAACAATTCGTCTTCAAAGAATGTAACATCCATAGTGACGTACGTATGTTGAGTAGATGGATGATAACATCAATACCTTTTTTGTTGAGGATTAAAGCCAAGGAACACACATTGCACTGCACAGGGATCAAGCTTGCTTCTTTAATTTTTGTGAAGATGGACATATGCCACATAACCAAAAACCTGGGGTTCGAGATAAAAAGTGGAACAAAGCAAAACATGATCTGCAAGCACGGCCAATGATGTTCTAAAAGAGAGAACATGCGATGGCATTCAATTCATGAGATAAATAACATAAGTGACTGCATCAGCTCAATATGTCCGGGGTGCACAACTACCAATAAGAAGAGCATGGGTAATCTCAAGGATGTGCTGATTTTTTTGTTCGGCAACTCCATTTTGCTGTGGGGTTTGAGTACACGTAGTTTCACGAAGAATGCCCTTTTTCGTAAAGAAATTAGAAAGATCCTGATTAAGATACTCACCACCGTTGTCTGATCGAAGCACTTTAACAAGGATTGAATATTAAGTATAGACCATGTGATAAAACTTTTTGAAGATGCTACCCACATCACTTTTGTTTTTTTAAGGTACAACTAAGTCATTATGGTGTATTTATCAACAAATGTTACAAACCAATGCACTTCATGCTGAGTAGTAACCGGAGAGGGTCCCCACATATCAGAATGAACTAACTCAAAAGGAACTGTTTGTTTATTATAACTTGGAGAATACGAAGCACAATGGCTTTTAGCTAATGTGCAAATATTGCATTGTAGAAAATAATATGAGATATCTTTAAACAATGATGGAAGTAATTTCCGTAAATATCCAAAAGAAGCATGACCAAGTCAACAATGCCACAATTTACTAGTCTTCAACTTCCCACTATTACGACCTTGAACTTGATGAACACGACCCTGTGCAACATTGTCAACATAGTACAACCCCCCTTTTTAGTACCACAACCAATGATCACACGAGTCCGGATATCTTGAAGTAAATAGAAAGACAAAAATATTTGCACAACACAGTCTAATTACTCGGCGACCTATCCCACAGATAACAAATGGCTTGAGAGTGTGGGAACAAGTAAACAGTTATGTAATGAGAGAGTATGAATAAGTGTTATCGAACCTGCCCCTGTAACCGGGGCAATACCTCCATTAACAGTGACAATACTATATCGTGGTGGTGGTGTTATTGAGTTAAATAAAGTACGATCATAAGTCATATGATCAATGGCTTCAAAGTCAATGATCCAAACTGTATCAAGATCAACAGATGCAACTAAGGTTGTTCCCATGTTACCTGGATCATCAGATTGATCTTGAGAAACAATCAAGTTTAAAAGAGATAGTTGTGGGCCAAGACTGGCTAGATTCTGGTCTCTTTTTTATGGTCTTCCGCTGGTAGGCTCGGTGAGCCTTTACCGAGTCTGCCAACATTATGATTTCCTTTATGTTCAGCGGTTTAGGCTGCATGCACGCCTGCTGCTCAATTGAATGGTGAATGCTAGACGTAGCATGCCAAGACTCTTGCATAAATGAGGTAAGTGCCGCAAGCCCAGTTCCTGCTTCAACATGTTTTTCTTGCCCAACCTCTGCAATCATTCGTTGTTCATCTATTAAAAACAACGACTTGGTGGATTGGTAGGATTTAGGTCACGTGTGACTCTCTTGTCTTGAGATCACACCTTGATTTTTTGCTTTTTTTTTTTTTTTTTTTTGCAAATTGATTTTGAAGCCAACAAGAATCTCTAATGTCAGCACCAAGATAAAATTATGATTTTGAGTTTCAATCTTTGCCTTCTTCTTTCAGTGTGATGAGCAGTGTCTCTTGCTTTGAGACGCTAAGATTTAGATTTCTAGGTTTTCTTTTCCTTCTTTTAGTGGGGTAAGCACTGCCTTTGAGTTTTTGGTGATTTAGGTTTATAGGGTTTTTCCAGTGAGTGGTTCTCTTACTTCAAGATCACGCTGTAAATTATTTTGGGTTTTTAGAGATTAGCAGCTAGAGTCAAAGAGAAAGAGAAAGGGCGAAACCTGCTTTGATGCCAAGATAAAAGTAGTTCTAAGGTTTCAAATATTCTTTTCTATCTTATTCTTCTCCTTAGAAGGTAATATATACTACTTCATCTTGCGATACAAGGAATATTGAAGAGAATTTATAACCAAATTAGGAAACATAAATACATTCCTATTGCACCTAAACTTATGACTCATGCCAACATAGAATGGGGGACGATGTTGTAACTTGGTTGCAGCCTTGCATGATGACCAAATGGAGGATTAAGGTTTAATCTTGTAGTACTTTTGTGGTTTCTTATGCACAATTTGAGTGAGCAATGTCAAAGATGAACGAGGCATTAATTAATTAATTAGTTAAGCAATTAAAGGATAAGCATGTTAAGGTTGGCAAATTTCATCAAGGATAATAGTTTACTCATTCATAGTAAAGGGAAGGTCCTTCCCCTAATGTGGAATCATTTTACCATAATATTATAATCAAAACCATTCATTATCTTTATCATTGTTTAAACTCTTCTACATATGGATTCGGTCGATTTGGAGACTATATAGCCATTCATATGCCTCAAATTAATAAAGAGTTATAGTAACAAGAAACATCCTCACAATGAACCGTCAATTTCTTTAATTAATATAAATGACCCTCAAAACATATATGTTACAATATATTTTCCATGTCATTACTTGACGGTCAACTATATATATTTTTTCTTCATAAAAGGTGTCACATCCCGGCCCGGGCTTCTACCACATCCCGGGTTCGACTCCACCGTAGCACGATATTGTTCGCTTTGGGCCCCGACCACGCCCTCACGGTTTTGTTTCTGGGAATTCACATGAGAACTTCTCAGTGGGTCATCCATCCTGGGATTACTCTCGTGCGAACTCACTTAACTTCGGAGTTCCGATGGAACCCAAAGCCAGTGAGCTTCCAAAAGGTCTCGTGCTAGGAAGAGATGAAAGTATACATATAAGGCTTACAAGATCCACTCCCCTGAGCGATGGTGGATGTTACAAAAGGCTACTATTTGGTGGCTTCACCACGACATTCCATCTTTCAAAGGTTGGAAAAACTCACAGAAGTATTTCAACCTCTTTCTAATTTGGCCATCATCAAGCAATTCACTATGCAAAAAATTGTACTTAGAATGTGTTGTGTGAAATATCAACTTAGAATTTGTCTCTAACCACTAAACGTGGTTAAAAGAAAGTTATATTTGACTTTGTTATTTTGTACTACGTATCATCCGTATCCAACATTTCCAAACAGACAAGGATTGTCTGCCTCCCACTTCCGGTGCCCTCCTATTTGTGTGGTCACGGTTAAGTCACGGTAACATTTTATATTACTATTCATTTTTGTCTTATTATCTATATAAAAAAACACAATATAAAATATTGACTTGGCTTAACCGTGATCATACAAAACAAGAGGCCACGAGAGGGCAGACAATCCTTGTCCTTTCCAAACAAAAACAAAACCAAGGTCCACATTCCGCACAACAAAGTCTGCAGCAGCACATCTACCCAACTCAAAACACGTGGCAAACGACGCTGTTTCATCATAAACATGTCCCTCTGACTTCCCAGAATTTAAAGCTCTCGTCAATTTGGCACGCACCCCAATTCTTTCACGCGCTAAAATTATACATGAAAAAATTATTTAAATAATAAATCGTAAACCGAAAAGAGAAACAAATCAAAATTAAAAACAAAATAAAACTAAAAACAATAGAAAAAGAGTAATAAAATAAGAAAAACTAACGAATTTGAAAACTTTGGATTTTAATCCAATTGTAGGTGAATAGTACCCGTAATGATTTTTAAAGTAAAAATGTTATTTTCGTTAAAATGAACTATTCAAAAAATGTTTCGTTAAAATTCTCGAAAAACACAAATAAAATCAATAAATAAAATAAATAAAATTGGTACACCAACGAAGAGAAGAAGACAGTGTACGGAAAATAAAATCAATCAACACGATTGCTCCGCCGTGGAAACCCGTTGCAGCCAATCAATACTCTGCACTGATCGGCCCCGCCCAATCTCCGCCGTTGATCCCGGAACCCGATGATCTGCGAGTTCCACCGGAGGAGCTTTAACATAATATGAATTCAGTGAATTTTTATTTGATATTTTTGGGGATTTTCTTCCATTCGGGGGTTTTGAAATTCCTACTGTGAAAAATCGGTTATCGGAGAATCGGGTTCTGGGTTTTGCGAGAGCTTTGGTGGGTCGGAGAGGGTATTTTGGGGATTGGACTGATGCTGGACTTTAGGGAAGGTCGGTGCGTGAAGGGGTGAAAAGGTTGGGGTTTTGGGGTTAGAGGTAGGGTTAGGGTTAGGGTTTTGTAAGGTTTGTGGTGATGGAGATGAATAATACTGAGCTTGAAGAAGGCGAGGCTCCTTGCTATTACAAGGATGATGACGAGGAAAACCTTGACCCGGACAACGATCTCTCTTACATTGTAAGGGCATCTTTGTCTCATTGATTCATTCGTGTTCGAATTTCTCATTAGAATTTTGGTTGAAAGCTTTGGAGTTGATAAACAATATATGAACATCTTAAGAAGATAATAGTGTGTTGAATTTGTTCTTAAGGCTGAGTTTCCATGTTGTTTTTGATGTATGTGTATGTTGAATTACAATGGTGGATTGTAATTTGTAACTGCTTGCTTGGTTTCCGAGAAAATATAAGAAAGTAAGGAAATTGAGTTGGAACATGAACTTTGGACTTGCAGACAACTGTTTAGCAGGGTGAAGTAGAAACTTTTTATCCCTTGGATAGTAAAACGCAACGCAATAATTAGGAGTCTTAAATTTTTTCGCTTTAAGTTGTGCAGTATTCCAACGCAATATGCAAAAGCTTTGGAAACTGCCAGTGAAGTTTCTGGGTGTTTTCGGCTGGCTTTAGAGACAATGTAGATTATTTTCTGGTTCAAGTATAGAAGAAGTACATTCATGGCTGATTGCTGATAATTGATTATGCAACAGCCTTATTGTAGTGAATTCTTGCAGTTATTCGTAGGTACCATTGATTTACTCTGATTTATAGTATCAAGATTTTTTAAATGAGCATAAATTCTCTTTTCTTTCAATTATGATGCTTTATAGATTATTTATGATTGTATGGTTGTTGATCCAAGGAAAGCATTAGTGAATTTGAACTCAATACTCGTTTGTTCAGTGTCCAAGAGAACAAAACATTTAACCCCCCCTATAAATTTCCAAATGCTGAGTGGTTGAGTTTGGTAGGCCAAATGGTTGTCTATGAACAAGTAATGTTAAATAACATTTAGTTTCCACTTCCTCGTTTCTGTCGTCTTGGCTATCAGAAATACTGTTCGTGAAAAAAATTCCAAGATAGTCTCAAGACTCAGCATTATTGATTGCCATTTACGTGAACAAAACCTATGATGGGCTAAGCTGGTTTTAGGTAACAGTATCCCATGACAAGTTTACACAATTCGCTTCTTCTGTAACATTCTGTAATAGCCCTTTATGTTTCTGTACAGACATTTTGGTTATTATTCTTTTTTTTTTCTGGTCTTATGTATGTAATGACACATATATAAAAAAATGTTTGTAATGACACTATCTTTTTTTATTTTTTCAAGGATGAGAGAATTCAGAATGCTTTGGGCCATTTCATGAAGGATTTTGAGGCTGGGAATTCTGTTGAGACTTTGGGTAAGTGACATCCATGAAAGTAGTAGACAGAGTGCTTCATATTTGTACTTGTAAATTTAATGGCTCATCAGGTGGATGGACTTTATCGTTTTCTCAGGGGCAAAATATGGTGGGTATGGAACTTTTTTACCATCTTATGAAAGGTCTCCATCCATTTTGTCTCATCCAAAGACCCCGCAGATAAACTACAACACATCAAGATCTCCTAAATGTTTAACAGAGGTATATGGATAAAAATTCTTCTTATTTGTTATTTGGTAGGGAGGATTTATGTATGGCTGAGATCTTCTCAGATTGGAAAGTTCTATGTTAGTTGAGCATTCGCGGGTTATGTTAACATACAGGGTGACCCTCAGAATCTGAAAGCTTCTTCAAATGCACCCCCAAATGTGAGGCTTGGAATTGCTAACACTGCTCAATTGTCACATAATTCAAGGGTCCTCCCTGGAGACATTTCAGTTAAACGGAATTTGTGCTTGCCTCCAACTCAAGTAGCTGAGAGGTGTTCTGTGAAAGATGAAACCTCAAACAGACAGGGGAATCCAACTGATCAAAGGACACTGAAGGTTCGAATCAAAATGAACCCTGATAACACGGCTCAGAAGAATGTAGCAATATATAGTGATCTTGGACTTGGCTCTCCATCTTTATCTTTGGAGAACAGCCCTGAGGAAAGTAGGGCAATGAAACCTCCATCTCAAGTGATTGTGGATAACTCTCCCACTAACATTATTCAGGTAAGCCCAGATGTTTTATTGCAGTTTCTATTGCTGTAGATGGACCTAAAATGATCTGTTGCATTGATGGGCGTTGTTTATGTTTTGTGACAGGTTATGACTTCCTTTCCTGTTCCTGGAGATGCATTGATATCACCACTTCATGACAGTTTGCTTTTCTTAGTAAGAAAGAGAAAGCTTTATCAACAAAAACAAGTATCTTCATCAAAGGGCCATCAAGAGCATTCATCTTTGTCTGTGATGGACTCTGTTTCCACAGAGGGCAACAGCAAAGTGTCGAAGGAGACAAGAATTAAAGCATCCAGGAAGGGTGAAAGTCCGGTAGCGTTGAAGCTTGAGAATGGTATCAAGAATAACATGAAAATTATTATGAAAAAGAAATCAGAAACTGGGAGCCGAGAAGACAAGGAGCTTGTGCTCAATGACTTGAAAGCCACGCCTTTGTCCAATGCAGTATTTGTTGGTAATTGTTTGAAAGTGATTAGTAGGACACCTGAAGCTTCTAGGGAGGCGAATGAGAATGAGGTGAAAGGAAAATTATCTTCCTCTGAATTAGTGAAGGAAGAGCCATTGGAGTTGATATCTAATCAGGGTGGTGTCAAGAATGAGAAGCAGAGTTCTAGGTATGGTTCAGTGGAAAGGGTCTGGGAACAGAAGGATATTCCAGTTGATCTCAGGGATGATGTCAAGTGCAAGGATTACAAGATTTCAGCCTCAAAAGATGATTCTGATGTATCCAAATGCAAGGAAGAGCAAGACTTGCACAAACACAATGCTGGTAAGGAAGGTACATCACGTGAACAAGCAAAAACTAATGTGTGTGGCAAGAGGCCAAAGCTATCTTCTGAGGGCAAGGCTAAGTCAAAGGAAAATCAAAGCAAGGAAAAGTCACCTAGTATTTCAACAAAGGAACACCTGGAGTTTGAAATGGGTGTGGCTCCAAAAGATAAATTGAGCGGAGGTCATGGTGTTCCTCAATCTGATATAAAAGTTCAGAAGTCGAAGTCGCAAAATGGTAAGGTCAGAGATAATCAAAGAGTCTCAGTGGGGGACAAAAGATTGGAACAAAGGGATAAAATGGACATAGCAGAAAGACCTGCTGCTGATATTGATGTAAAACTGAGGGCATGTTTGGATAAACCAAAGGAAAAATGGAGCGGCAAAAAGTCCGATAATCAGTTACTGTCAAAAGATGTTCCCGTTCTGTGCCAACAAACAAAGGAAAATGGACTTGCTTCGGAGCTTGTACCAGCGGCTGCAGCTCCTGTAATTATAGAAGAACATTGGGTGTGCTGTGATAGTTGTCAGAAGTGGCGGCTTCTACCCTTAGGCACTAAGCCGGAGCAACTTCCTGAGAAGTGGTTGTGTAGCATGCTTAATTGGCTGTAAGCTTCCTTCTTACTATTGGGTTTGACAATAATATTTGCTTATCTTTTCTTCTTTTTTTTTTCACTCCTCTCTCTCTCTCCCTCTCCCTCTCTCTCCCTCTCGCGCACACACACACACACACTCTCTTGCGCGCTTGCATGTATCCATTCCTGCCTGTGTATGTGTAGATATTTAACTAATCACATGAGTCTATGCATGCTTGTTTTGCTGCCTTTTCACTGTGGCATTGAATTTTTTTTTTAAATTTATTTATTTATTTTTTTGTGTGTAGGCCTGGGATGAATCTATGTGACATCAGTGAGGAGGAAACAACCAAAGCACTCCAAACATTATACCAGATGCCATCTTCAGAAGGAATAAATAAGCTGCTGACTCATGCTAATGGAACAGCATCTGCAGTACCTGCGGTTGATGTCCTACATCTTGATCAGAACCTCAGTTCTCATGCCATGTCTAATCAAGGGAAGAAGAAACATGGTTTAAAGGAAATACCAAATGCAAGTAATGGAAGTAGTCTCTTGAACTCTACAAAGAACCACCTGCAAGTAGCTGTGAAAAGTATAAGCTCCAATGACATAAACCAGCCTCCTTTAGAATCAAATGTGATAAAGAAATCTAGTTCTCGACATACGAGCAAGCTGCAAAACTTGAAAATTGAAAAAACCATACCTAAGCAGAAGGAGAAGCAAACAAGTGAAGGTATGTGGTTATTCCCTTTCCTACTGCCATAACACATGCAAAACTAGGTAACCAGTGCCTGTATTTATTTGGGTTGTTCTATATCTGCAGATAATGCCAGGGCAGTAAGATTGAAAAACAAGGAGGAGGATGATCAGCATACATTTGGAACTTCTAAGAAATTGAAGAGAGGAGATATGTGGCATGCTGATAAGAACACAAATTCTAATGTTGACATTGGGATGGTTGTTTCGGTTCAAGTACTGGTTTGCTAACCCAGGCACGTGGTCAGGATGTTAAATACAATGACCTCTGTCATTCTGAAGGCACTAAGGATGCAGCCAAGGACAAATTACAAGTTTCTGCAAAGAAATTGAAAGACCAAATTCAGGTCTCATTGCATGGGGGGGCTTTGGACTTGAGAACAGGCAGTAGAGATGGTTCCACAAAGAAAAGAAAGATGAGAGAATGGCAGGATACTCAGAATAATGTGGAGACATTTCAAAATTTTGGGCATGAAGGGAAGTTATATACCAAGGAGGAAAGTAGTGAAAGCGGATATCGGAAGGAGAAGAGGTCCAGGATTTTGAAGTCTAATGGTAAAGAGTCCAGTACTGGTAATGGAGATGATAGACCAAATAGAAAAATCAGAGCGGCCAATATTGTTATGTCAGGAACAAAAGTTAATTCAATTCATGTTGCGGAAAAGGATAGGAGTATTGTAAAAGACCAGCAACCCAAGAAACATAGTAAAAAGAATGCATCTCAACAAACATTCATTGGTGTAAATTCATTGGGAAGGGATTCGGGATCCGGGCATGTTTCTTTGGCTGCCACTTCAAGCTCTTCAAAGGTTTCAGGTTCTCATAAAACTAGAGTTAACTTTGAAGAAGTAAAAGGCTCACCTGTGGAATCAGTTTCTTCATCTCCTTTGAGGACCTCCAATGAAGACAGGCTTACTTCAGCAAGGGGAGATGCTTTAGGGAAAGATGATTCTGCTTATGGTGGTTTCCCTTTAACAAATAATGGAGATGCCAGTATATTTTCATCGGTAGGCTACCAGGATGGAGATGCCAATGGTGAACTCAATGTCACCGCCAAACCTTCTTCTGAAGTTTGGAATAGCCATTTGCTTAGTGGTAATAATGATGGTTTGGAAAACGGTCGGTGCCTCAAAAATCAGCATGGCATGAATCATTCTCATGATGATGATAGAGAGAACAAGGATCACACTGGAGATCCTGTTTGTGTGCAAAAATCTGGCAAGGGTTCCTGTTTGCAGTCTAAGGACATTGTTAGAAGTGGCACTTCTAATTTGGATAGGAACAGGATGAAGGCTTCTGATCCAGTGAATGATTGCTCGAAGAAGGGTCAAAGATATGAATCTGAGATTGAACCCAATTATGTTCATGGAAAAGGGAATAATGTTAGACACGATCTTCCTGAAAAGTGTAGCACTAAGTGGGTCAAGCTCAAGGATGAAAACTATCATATTAGTAGGGGGGATAATGCAGGACATGGGTCAAGTGACAGTGGAGTGGAAACTCAACCAAAACGAAAGGACTATGATGCATCAGATGTGAAGTTTAGTTCTACGCAGAGCCCTAATAGGAATAGTGCACTGCAACAAAACCTGATTCAGAAACATGAGGATGGTCAGATGCAATATGAGTCAAGAAGTGGGAAATCACAATTGTTTTTACATTGCCGAGGTGAAAGGAAAGAAGAAACACCATCTCTTTGCTCCCCACCTATTGCAGGGTCTGAGAGAGAAGTAGTGTTTCAAGGGCTTCCTGTCGATACCACTGTCAATGGTGATATGACAACGTCACTAAAGCAGGCTGGGACTGCTGCTAACAAGAATGGAGTTAATTGCAAGCCTGATCAACAAAGAGATGGTGCGCCAAGTCCTGTGAGAAACTCCTCTGCCCAGACTGCTACTAATACCTTGAAAGAGGCCAAGAGGCTTAGAGACTATGCTGATTATCTTAAGGTTTCCTGTTCTCATTTGACTTTTTAGCAAATCTTTAGTACAGAATTGATACAAATTTGTTTTTTTTTTTTTTTTTTTTTTGTGCTCTTAACTCATACTGCGGTTCTACTATGTTTTAGAACTCTGGGTTTGATTTTGAAAGTAGTGAGGCTTACTTCCAAGCTGCCCTGAACTTTCTCCAAGGAGCCGTGCTTTTAGAAAGTTGCAGTAGTGAGAATGGCAAACATGGAGATATGACTACGTTGCAAGTGTACAGTACTACAGCTAAACTTTGCGAGTAAGTTAGATGCTCTAAGTTTTAAGAGAAATAGTTGTTTCTCATCCTGATGACTTATGTCTCAGCCAATAGATTCAATTAGCTATTACTAGCATGCAGAGATGGTCCCTTTTAATTTTATAAAATATGTAATGTCCTATAAGTTTTGAAGCTTTTGTTTCTGTGTTCCTATAGCCTGGTGTTTGGCTCTGTGCTGAACCTTTTGAATTCACAGATTATGTGCCCATGAATATGAAAGCCGCAAAGAAGTAGCTTCTGCTGCCTTGGCCTATAAATGCATGGAGGTGGCATACATGAGGGTGGTTTACTGTAAACATTCTAGTACAAACAGGGATCGGCATGAGTTGCAAGCTACTCTCAATATGGCTCCTCAAGGTAGGGAGATTATGAATGATTTATGTGATAATCTTTGGATTGCATGTCAAGTTTCAGTTTTGTTCTTACATTAGGAAATGCTTGCCATTTGAAGTTGTAGATTATTTATTCTAGTTTGAACATTTATGTTACTAAACAATCATGTGGTAAATATATTTAGTTGAAAATGTCAAGCCTTGATACTGTCTTTACTGTTATTTGCAGAACCATACTTATCATAACTAATAATGAAATATCTACATTATCTATCTGTCATTTGTGATAAATATGTACAGACTGCTTCTGTTGATAAAAAACAGCAGAAGGTAGAAATCTGGGTGTTCTTATCTTTTCACTGAGAAAAGGAATATCAAACAACTCAACTTTTTTTTTTTTTTTTTTTTTTGTCTTTAAACTCTTCACTGTTCAGGTGAGTCTCCATCATCTTCTGCATCAGATTTAGATAACTTGAACAACCAAGTTGCTGCTGCTCGTAACCGCTCTAGTTTTGTCAGGCTGCTTGACTTTGTAAGTTGATTTAGTCTTGCACTCGGTCTTGATATAAATTTTTGCTAAGAAGTGTTCTTTCGAGGTGATTCGATACGCACTTATTCAGGACCACAGATTCAGAACTATGAATCATGGATATATAGTGGATAAAAAAGTTAGGAAGCTGAATTGGAATTTCCAGCCACCAGATTTTGCATAGATTAGCCAATTGTTATTGGAGTTTCAGCGAAAAGGAAAAGAAAAAAATATATTGTATGAAAGCTTCCAAGCAAGCCTATTTTTCTTTCTACAAGCATCTTGAATGACTTGTGATTAAAATATTTAGTTGGATTATAAATTCATAGGTCATCTCGTCTTGTGTAGGATCAGTAAGATATTTTCGCACAGATTTAATTGTGTAGTAATGGTTTTACAGTTACCAGCGTGCTACAAGAGGGTAAGATGAGTATGTATTATTTTGCAGACACTGGATGTAAATTTTGCAATGGAAGCCTCAAGGAAATCCCAGAATGCTTTTGCAACTGCTTGCGCGACACTGGCTGATGCACATAAGAATGATTGTATTTATTATATTAGGAGGGTCATTGATTTCAGCTTCCAAGATTTAGAGGAGCTCATCCATCTGGTTAAGCTTGCAATGGAGGCCATAAGTCGATCCAAATTTGGTGGTGCTAGAGATTAAGTCAACCCTGTATATATTGAACGTTTTCATGGTTTCTCTCTTAAGCAGGCAGGCATCAGGAAAAAAAAAAGGAGAAAGGATGCCTACCTGGACCTTCACTTGATAATCTGCAAAGAAGGCAGGTTACTGACAGTTCATATCTCTTCTGTACATGTGTACAAAGTGAGATTGATTACCAAATTTTATAATATATTTTTTCGCAAGTTAAGTCTATTTTTGACGCCGATAAGGGCACATCATGCTCAGCCATAAGTTTTAATGGGTTGGGAAAATAATTTAGTTGTTCGGGAGCATAGCTCAGAGATAATGTAATAGTATATATATATATATATATATTTTTTTTTTTGGCTCCTGTGATTTGGTGCTTGAGGTTTAAGAAAAAAATATCTATAGGGATTGGAAGATATTCTTAGGCAACCATTTTGAGAAGGTTGAATACTAGTGGTGATCGGTCAATTGCTCTATCAAGCATTTTTCTGTTTTGTTACTGTTTTTCAGAATTTTGATGGAATGGAAACCAAATTCTTGGCCAAGGTTCCCTTTATACTTGTAGCAAAAAAAGCTTAAGCTTTTGTATACGTTGATTGTGCAGGGGACTGAAATACAAATTGAATCTTCAGGTATGTAATATTTTTCTTCACTGTAATGGCAACAATGAAGTCGTCCTTTGAGTAATGTGTTTTGTAAACTTTTTTATGTTGGTGTAGGTGTAGGTGAAATCAAAGAACTTTGGTTGAGCAACCCCTGAGAAGTTCAGACTTGTGACCTACTGGAGTACATACTAGGACCACCGCTGCATGTGAGTTTAAGTGTAAAAAAAAAAGGTTTACAAACATTATCCTACTCCAAGAATTACCCCATATTATTCATGTGTTTTCTAATAATAAATTTTGCCTTGTATGTGGTGGGATGTATCAGTTTACGTCTGCATCAATTACTCGTGATGCTTTGATGTGGCATATGAAAATTTTCTCGCAATTCATGCTATGTACTTGTGATACGCTGATATTTAAGAGTAAACTTCTATATTTAGATTTTAAAAAAGTTACGAGGGTTCTTTCTTCTCGGTTGGAGTTGGTTGCTGAAGAGTAATTAGAATCTTTTTGTTTTTGGTTTTTGTTAAGCATGCACTTGCTGTTATATTCTCAGTAATAAATATTTAATGATGTGGTTCATGAACCAATGACTGTAGTTTCAGTTCAAATGGTCCTGGTGTTGGTCAGACCTTTGCTTATTGCATCAACTGAGTGCACGTGCTCATTGTTTCCCCAGCACTAAGCTTGATTGGTTTTCAACTTTTCATGGTACTTTCACTTGTATGCCATGTGTTGTCATTCATTGTTTTACAAGCTTGTATTTATAAATGTCGCCATTGATTGTTGAGTTATCAACATTCGATCTATACCGAGCGAATGAGGGTCTACCTATTATGTTTCGCAAAATTGTGGATCTTATCCTTGTTGGTAACTGATATGGCTGCTTTACATTGAACTTCAGTGCACAACAGTTTTAAATGCCTGAGTTTCGGTTTTATTTGTTTAAGGATAAAGTTTTCTAGATGCAGCGATGCTTGAGGGTGTTTATACCTGTGTACTCCACTTTCAGTAACCACTCTCCCGTGATACCATCGTGGTGGTGGTCTCCCTCTCTCAGTTGCCTTTTTCTGTCAGCTAATATACAAATAGTTCTTTCTGTTATTTTTAGACGTAGTAAGATAACGGTTTTTCTTCTGTGATGTGGGTGTAGTACATCAGTCGTGCCAGATGGGCGAGCTTTTTCTTGATTTGATTTTTGCCTTGAAACGATAGATATCCCTTTTAAGATTTTAATTATTATTATTAAGTTTTGTTCTTTTAGGATGTCAAAGCTGGATATTTGCCTTAGGATGCAGGTTTTCTCGAAGCAGGTTACTCTATCGGGTTTCAATTCACAAAGTGGGATCTTGGTTTATGCAGGAGAAGAATGGGGGCTGACTTCGGTCGCTGGCAGCAACAGGTGCTGGTTGTTTACATAATGTATTTACTATTCTCTTCTCTTGTTTTTCTTTTTATTCCAACATTGAATAATCCTTTCACTGTTGTCTCCATGATTTTCGCACCATGTATCATACATGAACAATAACGATAACAGTAATAATAGTTATCGGCATTTTTTTATCATCGGAGTTATCTGTTCTAATCATCATTTTAATTCTTTCGAGTTCTGGACCTTATTTTGTTTCTTGAAGATTTTCTCGAGGTTTCGACCCCGTATGGTTAAACTGCTGTCTCATGGACTGCCTGAGTAGGAGATTATCGGTGTTTGAAGATTTTCCGGCACTAGAAGGTGAAATATGGTCAACATTTTAAGACTGATACTGCAAAGAAGGCTACTTGTAAATGTGGCAGAAATTTGATCCGAACTAATAGATGGAAAACGCCGTTTGTTTAAGGCAATGCAAGGGTTTGACATCTTTGTTACTCTTTGAGAATTCATGGGTTTTTCATGTCCTTTATAAGAAATAAATTCTCTGTTCTGGACGTCCAAAAGAAATTCTCCGTTCAGAACGTCCTGAAAAAAATTTTATTATTTAGGTTTTAAGTGGAAGGCTTCTATCCATATGCCGCCTACTACAGGGGAATGATGCCTATTTTTGAGCCGACTTTGGTGTCAAATTTTAGATCTGAGACTAGATACTAAAGTTTAAGCAACTAAAATTTAAGCAACAATGTCAATAAATGAGATCAAATTTGACGAAAAATTGAGAAGCGAAGTTTCCTCAATGCGTTAATAAAGACGGGATGTCGTGCATAGAGAAAGACTGCCTTTCGGGGATCAAATATTAAGCATCCTAATACCATTACGATTATTAAGGATATAAAGACAAATCGAAACGCTAATCACCAAAAAAACCCTACAAATGCAGGAACCATTTTTAAAGTGATGAAATATATTAACGTCTCTAACAAGAAACTCCCACTCAACAATCTCAGGCACCAATGAGCTTGAAAGCTTCTTGACAATCCTTTTAGTTTGGTTACCAACGCAAATCCCTCACTGTGCAAACCTACAATTTCCTCCTTGGCCTACTCCTCCACATCCACAAAGACCTTCCTCTTTGTTTCATCTTACCTTCCAACTTCCTCAACAAAGCCAACACCTCGCTCCCTCGCGCACATGATGATACATCTCCTGCGTAGAATACATAAGTTGAGTCCTTGACCTCAACCCGGTTGCACCCGGGTTCTTTTTGCACTCCCGTACGCCTCATTTCTGACCTAAGACCATGAGCATTCTCCCACTCTCCGATCAATGAGTAAGCAATTGATAATTGAAGTCCAAGAAACAACATTCCTACAGGCTACAGCCCATCGAATCAAAAACCCGCTGAGCATTATCGACATTCTTGCACTTCCCCTACATATCAACCAGCTAAGAGAAAACAACAAGGTTAGATCGAAAACACAAAAGTTCAACAGGCCCATGAACTCTTTTCCCAGTTCTGAGATGAGCAAGGATCGAACACTCATTAATCACACTCGCGAAAGTGAACTCGTTGGGCAGAACCGTACACTCGGGCATCTTCCAAAAGAGCCAGAGAGCCATTCCGGGCTGACCCGTGTCGACGTAACCGGAGCGAGGTCCAAGGACACAACGTTTGGTTCAGGCATTTCATCCAACGGCCGGCTTGCAAAGCTAATTCTTCGGAGCCTGACATAACAGTTGATGATATGGTTGGTGGTGAAACCGTCAAAGTGTCATATAAATAACCGGATTTTATGGTGGCGGAATGCTGTGAGTCTGCGGAGCCGGAACCTTTACAGCGCCGGAGCTGTTGAATGAGATGAAAGTTCGACGGTTTATTTTGGCGGGAAAGGTTTTAGGCGGTGAAACGTCGACGTTTCGTACACTTATAATTTCTACCTTTCTTTTATGGTTTTAGAATAATTTCCTCCCTTATACTTTATAGTAAAGAATTTAAATTTTGACCTCAAAATACTAAGTTTTAGTTTGGTAACAGTAATAATGTGTATCTGTTTTACTATATCATTATTTCTTTGAAACTGATAAACTATATAAAATAAAAAGTAATGCTAAACAGATTAAATATTTGACCATATTTGCAAACAATGTAATGTGTCACCAATAGGTAATAAACACATTAATCATTACTTAAGTAATAATCTAATCATCAACAATCACGTCATATGATTTACAAAATATAATTTAAATCGATGATATCCATGACATTATTTACGTGAAAATAAAAAAAAGGTATAATAATTCAATTGAAAATGAGGAGAAATCTACATAAAATGGGTTCGCTAAGGTGATGGTATTTTGATGAAAAGCGGTTAATTAAACAATTAAATTCTGTTACTTAAGAGTCAACTATCTACTTTGATTGTGCCTAGATTAGTATAAATTAGTTAGTTATATTAAACAATTAAATTCTAAATCATAAGTTAAACATTGAAATACAATCTGTTGTTTACTCTTTGACTTTGAGTGAATCAATGAAAAGCAAACCAAGTAGTGGTGACATTGAAAGCAATTAAAACTTTAACTTGCCTTTGGCTAATGGAAAATTCTGCAGTGCACATAGGCACCGGTGCACAATGCTTTCTAGCTCTTAAAAATTAGTGCATCAATCTGGGCCGGTCTTGAGAATGCGACAAGGGCCGAAGGGTTTAGTTGTTTAGGGTTTGATGTCTGGCAATCTGAAGAGTGCGACAAAAGAAGTAACAATTTTTTTTTTTAAATCAATAAGAATAGGTTTGAGTCACTTGACATTCCACCTATCACATTCAAAACATGTTTGTTGGTTTTTTATTCAATTAATTATATAAAATAATTCAACTTTACAAATGTTAAGCTCAACCGCTCAATCCAATGAGATATTATATTTAGATAAAGACTTAAGGTCTATAATTTTTTTATTTGAACATTTACAAGATTTCTAACATTAATTTATATGCACATAAAATGAAATAAAAAAAATTAAGGGCCCACAGAAAAGGCTAGGTGGCCGCTACTCCAAGTACCCTAAGCCGGCCCTAGCATCAATACATATATGCATATGCACGGGTGCACAATGCTTTCTACCCCTTGAAAAATTGGCTTGATATTTAGTCGGTTGAGAACTTGATATTGCTTGCGCAAACAACAAGATTAATCAAATATAAATTGAGATTGATGGTGCCCAAGTCTTCTATGTTTTCAGAAAGAAACAATCAAAGAATCATGCACTACCATGTCCCAATCTCAATGACTATATATTACTATTCACTCTACTATTTGCTTTGGAATATCTCTGTCGACCTTATGCTTATTCCTCATCATCTTCCTCGGATTATTCTAAGAAATAGTTTCGAACCCATAATGTATGAGTAAAACTCAACACCCTATGATATTTAGCACCATATATCACACTCGTTACAAATATATTCAATTTTATATCCGTGTTAGTCAAACCTGAATCCTCCTTCCTCAATTAAATGTAGACAATTATCATATATAAAACTATAAAAGGCTAATTGGTAGTCTTTTTCAAAGAAATTATATCGTCAGTTTTAACTTTAGAACAAAATAAATGCATATATTGTAAATGTTTACAGAATATATTATTGCATGACAGGGTGTGCCGCTGATTCGGTCATACATGGAATGATGAAATCAAGTGTGTGTATATATACAAATGAAACTTGTGACAAGTGTCGGCATGGAGTGAAACAATTTTATGGGGTAGAGTTTCCTCCAAAAAGACATCAAGATTGGTGTGTGGGGGTCTAGTTCTAGTTCATAGTTCATTCATTGTGTTTTTGGACTTCATCTTGGGCACTACATTCAGAGACTGAAAATCTCTAAACTGAAATCCAATCCCTAATTACGGTTTTGTGTCTAAATATTTTCTTTACGTTCAACAAATTTTTAACCAACCGCGTAGGTTACTCTTCGTAGTTAATATAAGGGGAGCGTTTCTGATTTTTGCACTCCCTTTCAGCTCAAGCACTTCTCTTTTAAATTTATCTGTTGAATTTTTTTTATTTTATCATTTAATCCAATCACTAAACAAAACGGCAAAGTGCGCAGAAAGTAAAGGGTGCAAAAATGAGTGGTGTTGAGGTATGGTGACTGGAGGATGGCAAGGGTGGTGACGTAGCACGAGCATATAAGGATTACAAATGTAACAAATTTTTTTGGAATCCACCAGAGATTGACACTATGTTTGGATGAAGAAATTTAAGATTACTAAGGAATTTTAAAATGACAGAAATTAAAATGACAAGATTTTATTTTCTAGAATTTGTAAATTTTCTTGTTTGGTTAACCTAAAAGAACAATGAAATTGAATACGGAATTTGTTATTTTTAAACTCTTAATCATAGAAATTGGGAAATGATACCTATTTACATGGAATTTGAACTTGGGAATTGGAGGTTCCAAATTCCAATTTTTTTTTTCAATGTGGAAATTCTAAATTTCTATGTTTATGAATCCAAATAAGGGAATTTGTGCAAGTCAATTTATAAATCGTGACATTTACCAAAATTCCAAGTTTATTTCCTTTATCCAAACATAGTGTGAGAGAAAACCCAAAAAGTTATTTGAATAATTCTGAATTGTTGAAATAGCCAAAGACTTTAAATAAACTGATTACAACTCCTTAAACAACTCAGTAGTTATTAATTCGATATTAATCAGACGGCAACTCAAAGGTTTGATTTCTATTATGAAAATTAAACATTGTTTTGGAGGTTGAAACGACTTGGTTGGCTAAAATCAATGTTTTAAAAGACTCACCTCAGGGCGCGCCTAGGTGGCCTCGAAGGTTGGGTAGGTGGCTTGCCGCCTCTGTTTTCCAAGAGTCGGCGTAAGGCGTTGTCTGAGCTCGCCTAGGCGGCAAAGACGTGCCTCAAGGCATCCATGTGTTTTTTTTTCTTCCATTTTTTGCTTTTAAAAAAAAAATAAATAAAAACCCCAAAACCATGACCAGCAAATAAGATGAGTTGCAGAGCCGAAGAAGATGAAGAAGACAGACGGTCTCCTGAATTTTGGTTTTAAAAAAATAAGAAAAACTAATGAAAAGGGCTTGAAAACTTTGAGTTTTAACGATAAGGACAAAATAAATAGTATAGTGAGTAGTACCAAATTTGACTTTTTAGTGTAAAAATATGGT